TCACTCAATTTGTAACATAGTTTTGGAAAGCTGAAGCCTAAAGGGACTCTTGAAAATAGTGAAGAGTCTGGTGGTAAATAATTTAGAGGAAGCTTGTAGTTCCATGACTGTAACAAGCTAAACTACAGTCCAGCTTATTTAACAAAGAAGACCAGGGAAAGAGACAGTTAAGAAGAGTCTTCCTGGAGTCAGAACAAACCTCAAGGGCTGGCTTTAAGAACTATCCCTGAAAAGGGGATCAGGCTGTAGAGCAATTTATGCCCTAGGACAGTGTCACAAGCAATGAAACAAACAACTGGTGGATATGACATCAGTAAAGGCAGACAGCTTCACAGAGAAATCTGGGTAAGAGACAGTCAAAGGGAATCCTGCTGAAATCATTGGTATCCCAGGGTTACTGTGCACATGCCTAAAGCTATGCTTTCCAAGGAGTAAAAGCAGAATGACAGCAGACATCGTGGGAAAACATATACTTCACTAAAAAGTCCAGTCGAGTCACTCATCAAAAAAGCAAACAACAAAAATAAGCCCTATGGGTGGGGGAATCAGTAGCCAGAGATGCTATGATATATTATCTAAAATATCAATTTTCAACAAAAATTTATAAGATATGCAAAGAAGAAAGTATTACTCATAGAGGAAAAACAGAAGCAAGTAATAGAAACTGCCCGTGAGAAGGGTCTATGTGGGATCTAGTAGACAAAGACTTCAAAGAAGTTATAATAAATATGTTCAGAGAACTAAAGATAACCATGCCTAAAGAAGTAGAGGAAGATATTGCAATATTGCACAAAATAGAGAATATCAATAAAGAGATTTAAAAAAAGAAAAAGTGGAAATTCTGGAGTTAAAAAATACTTTAATGAAATACGAAATTTACTAGAATGGCTGAACTGATTTGGACTGGCAGAAAAACTAATCCACAAACTTGAAAGATTAATTGATAAAAATTATGTAATCCAAAGAACAAAAATGAACTTCAGAGATACTTGGGACACTATGAAATGCATAATAGAGTAACAGAAATGATGACACAGAAAAGAGCAGAAAAAAAAAATATTTGAAGAAATAATGGCTGAAAATGTCCCAAATTTGAGGAAAACAAAATACTAATCTATACATTTACAAAGCTCAATAAAATCCAATAGTATAAGTACACAGAGATCCAGACAAAGATACATCAGAGTAAAAATGTTGAAAGCTAACAACAAAGAAGAAATTTTGAAAGTGGTGTAGGAAAGTGATTTATTGCATACAAGAGAGCCCACTTAAGTTTAGCAGTTGAATATTCATCAGAAGGTCCAGTAAGTAGCATCATGAATTAGTGGCTCTGGATGTAATCAAATGAATATTGACATAACTTGTTAGATTTTTGGGTTTGTCTTCAAGTGCCCAATGACTAAAGCCAATGATTTTGATATTATCAAAGGGCTGGTAGAGAATATATTCTATCACTTTATCCTCCTAGTTTCACTCCTTCAGGTGAAGGTACTCACTTGACTGCCCATGCAGTGCACTCACTGGGGAAAAGAAACATTATATTCTCTATTAACATCAAAGTAACCTTTAATAAACAATTGGAATTAGCTATTAAAATACCTGCTTTAATAGATAGAGGATGACAAAGGATAGAGGTGCTAATCTACAAACCTTCAGTGCTGTTTTGCCACTTAACATGAGGAGCCTAACGATGAGCCTTCATTAGATAAATCACTGTTTTATTGGTGTTATCGGGAAGATAAAATATGGAGTCTTAGTCAGTTTAGACTGCTATACCAAAATACCACAGATGTGGTGGCTTAAATAACAAATATCTATTTCTCACAGTTCTGGAGCCTGGAAGTCTGAGATCATTTTGGCAGCATGGTGGGGGTTCTTGGTAAAGGTCCTCATCCTGGTTTACAGATAGCTTCCTTGCCTCATATGGAGTAGAGAACAAGAGATTTGGTGTCCTTACCTTATAAGAACATTAGTTCATCATGGGGGCTCCATCCTCATGACCTCTTCTAAATCTAATTACCTCCTAAATGCTCCAGACCTCAAATACCATCACAATGGGGGAATTAAGCCTTCAAAATATGGATTCAGGATGGGGGGACACAAACATTCAGTCCACAGCATAGGGTATGAAAAAGAAATTTACATACAACTCATCTCTACTTTACAATTTTTTTTTAATGCCATACCTGGAAGGCCTTAGGGGAGATAAAATTAAGGTCCAATAAGCATTTCAAAAACAGAAACTACGGGCTTATGAAAAGATGGCGGAGGAGTAGGGGACCCTATTCCAACTGGTCCCTGGAATTACCAGACCACTCTGATTACCCACAAAATCAGCCTGAAATGTAAGAAGATAGATCTGGATCTCTACAAACAGAATATCGCAGGCAGTTGGTTCTGAGGTATGAAGGAGGGAGCCATGATTCTGTGGGCAGATATCAGAGGATAAATGGCAGGGGGAGGGAGACTGGCTGTCGGGATCCTACACCACTAGTGAGCAATAGCCTCCTGCACTGGGGACAGGGCATAGACTCACAGACCAGAGTGGCAGGGAAAGGACTTTAGGGCAGCCCCGCAGATGGAAACCGGAATGGTGGGGCCACACTTGCGAACTGGGGGCAGCTGGCAGTTTTAGAAGCACAAAGGGCAGAGATGTGCACCAACCTGGAGGTGAGGACTGGGAGCTAGTGCTGCTGAGGGGCACACAACCCAGGATGTTGCAGTTTATCGTAGCACAGACAGAAACAGAGATAGTGTGGCCTGGAGAACTCACTGAAGAACAGACTGTGATCTCTCTGCTCTGAGGCAGAGGGTTGTAAATGGTCTCTTCTGCTATGATGCTCGGAAGAGACACAGAAAGCCACCAGGGAAAGCCACCAGAGAACAAAATCCCCACAAAAAACGGTTTTCACTGAGCCCATCCCCCACCACAGGGGGTAGGGCAACTCTGCCCAAACAGGGTTGTCTGAATAACAGCACAGCAGGCCGCTCCCCAAGAAGACAGGCTGGGAAAATAAGAGGCCAGCAACCCTAAGGTCCCTAGAAAACAGGTGCATCTTGCTTGGGTTGTGGTCAATAATTTGGACTCTATACATTCCCTCAACCACCCATCAATAGAATGACTAGGAGGAGGAACCCCCAAAATAGGAAAGACTCAGAAATTATGACTTATGCCACAGATTTACAAATGGATTCAGATATAACCAAGATGTCGGAGATGGAATTCAGGCTAGCAATTGTGAAGACAATGGCTAGAATGGAGAAATCAATTAATGGCAACATAGAGTCTCTAAGGGCAGAAATGAAAGCTGAATTGGCAGAACTGAAAAATGCTATCAATGAGAGCCAATCTAATCTAGATAATCTAACAGCTAGGGTAAGCGAGGTAGAAGAACGAATTAGTGACCTGTAAGACTATTTAATAGATAAAAGGGAAAAAGAGGAGGCCAGGGAAAAACAACTCAGAATCCATGAAAATAGAATCAGAGAAATAAGTGACACCATGAAGTGTTCCAGTCTCAGAATTATTGGGATCCCAGAGGGGGTGGAGAGAGAGAGAGGACTGTAAGATATATTTGAGCAAATTGTAGCTGAGAACTTCCCTAATCTGGGGAATGAAACAAGCATTCATGTCCTAGATGCAGAGAGGACCCCTCCCAAGATCAAGGAAAACAGACCAATGCCGTGGCATGTAATAGTAAAACTTGCAAATCTTAGAACCAAGGAAACCATCTTAAGGGCAGTTAGGGGGAAGAGATTCCTTACGTACAGAGGGAGGAATATTAGAATAATGTCAGACCTATCCACAGAGACCTGGCAAGCCAGAAAGGCCTGGCAAGACATATTCACGGTACTAAATGAGAAGAACATGCAGGCAAGAATACTTTATCCAGCAAGGCAATCATTTAGAACGGATGGAGAGGTGCAGAGCTTCCAAGACCGGCAGAAACTGAAAGAATATGTGACCACCAAGCTGGCCCTGCCAGAAATATTAAGGGGGGTTCTATAAAAGGTGAAAGACCCCAAGAGTGATATACAACAGAAATTTACAGGGACAATCTATAAAAACAAGGACTTCACAGGCATCATGATGGCAATAAATTCATATGTTTCAATAATCACTCTCAACGTGAACAGCCTAAATGTTCCCATAAAATGGCACAGGGTTGTAGATTGGGTAAAAAGACAGGACCCATCCATATGCTGTCTACACGAGACTCATTTTGAACCTAAAGATACATCCACACTGAAAGTGAAGGCATGGAGATCCATCTTCCATGCCAGCGGACCTCAAAAGAAAGCTGGGGTAGCAATCCTTATATCAGACAAATTAGATTTTAAACTAAAGACTGTAGTTAGAGACACAGAAGGACAGTATATCATTCTTAAAGGGTCTATCCAACAAGAAGATCTAACAGTTGTAAATATGTACCCCCCCAACATGGGAGCAGCCATCTACATAAGCCAACTGTCAACCAAAATAAAGAGTCATATTGATAACAATACGTTAATTGTAGGAGACCTCAATACTCCACTCTCAGCAATAGACAGATCATCTAAGCAGAAAATCAATAAAGAAACAAGAGCTTTGAATGACACACTGGACCAGATGGACCTCATAGATATATACAGAAGATTCCACCCTAAAACAACAGAATAGTCATTCTTCTCGAGCACACATGGAACTGTCTCCAGAATAGACCACATATTGGGTCACAAATCAGGTCTCAACGGATACCAAAAGATTGAGATGATTCCCTGCATATTCTCAGACCATAATGCTTTAAAACTGGAACTCAATCACAAGAAAAATTTGGCAGAAATTCAAACACTTGGAAGCTAAAGACCACTCTGCTCAAGAATGTTTGGGTCAACCAGGAAATCAAAGAAGAACTTAAACAATTCATGGAAACCAATGAGAATGAAAACATATCAGTCCAAAACCTATGGGATACTGCAAAGGCGGTCCTAAGGGGGAAATACATAGCCATCCAAGCCTCACTCAAAAAAATAGAAAAATCCCGAATACACCAACTAACTCTATACGTTAAAGAACTAGAGAAAAAGCAACAAACGATGCCTAAGCCACTCATTAGAAGAGAAATAATTAAGGTTAAAGCAGAGATCAAGGAATTAGAAACCAGAAACACAGTAGATCAGATCAGCGAAACTAGAAGCTGGTTCGTTGAAAGAATCAATAAGATCAATAAACCACTGGCCAGACTTATCCAAAAGAAAAGAGAAAGGACCCAAATTAATAAAATTATGAATGAAAGGGGAGAGATCATGACTAACACCAAGGAAATAGAAACAATTATTAGAAATTATTATCAACAACTGTATGCCAATAAACTGAGCAATCTGGATGAAATGGAGGCCTTCCTGGAAAACTATAAACTGCCAAGACTGAGAAAGGAAGAAATTGACAACCTGACTAGGCCAATAACCAGTAACGAGATTGAAGCAGTGATCAAAAACCTCCCCAAAAACCAGAGTCCAGGGCCTGATGGATTCCCTGGGGAATTCTACCAAACATTCAAAGAAGAAATAATACCTATTCTCCTGAAGCTGTTTCAAAAAATAGAAACAGAAGGAAAGCTTCCAGAGTCATTCTATGAGGCCAGCATTACGTTAATCCCCAAACCAGGCAAAGACTCCATCAAAAAGGAGAATTTCAGACTGATATCCCTGAGGAATATGGATTCCAAAATCCTCAACAAAATTCTAGCTAACAGGATCCAACAATACATTAAACAGATCACCCACCATGACCAAGTGGGATTTATCCCTGGGATGCAAGGGTGGTTCAACATTCACAAATCAATCAATGTGATAGAACACATTAAGAGGAGAGAGAAGAACCATATGGTCCTCTCAATTGATGCAGAAAAAGCATTTGACAAAGTACAGCATCCTTTCCTGATTAAAACTCTTCAGAGTATAGGGATAGAGGGAACATTCTTCAATTTCATAAAAATCCATCTATGAAAAACCCACAGCGAATATCATCCTCAATGGGGAAAGCCTGAGAGCCTTTCCCTTAAGATCAGAAACATGACAAGGATGCCCACTCTTGCCACTATTGTTCAACATAGTACTAGAAGTCCTAGCCTCAGCAATCACACACACAAAAGAAATAAAAGGTATTCAAATTGGCAAAGAAGTCAAACTATCTCTCTTAACAGATGACATACTTTATGTGAAAACCCAAAAGACTCCACCCCCAAATTACTAGAACTCATACAGCAATTCAGTAATGTGGCAGGATACAAAATCAATGCACAGAAATCAGTTGCTTTCTTATATACTAACAATGTAACTGTAGAAAGAGAAATTAGAGAATCAATTCCATTTACAACAGCACCAAAAACTGTAAGATACCTTGGAATAAACCTAACCAAAGAGAGAAAGGATCTATACTCTAGGAATCACAGAACACTCATGAAAGAAATTGAAGAAGACAGAAAAAGATGGAAAAACATTCCATGCTCATGGATCAGAAGAATAAACACTGTTAAAATGTCTATGCTGCAAGCAATCTATACCTTCAATGCCATTCCAATCAAAATACCAATGACATTTTTCAAAGTGCTGGAACAAACAATCCTAAAATTTGTATGGAATGAGAGAAGACCCTGTGTCACCAAGGAAATGTTGAAAAAAACAAAACAAAACAAAACAAAGCTGGGGGCATCACGTTGCCTGATTTCAAGCTATATTACAAAGCTGTGATCACCAAGACAGCATGGTACTGGCACAAAAACAGACACATAGCCAATGGAACAGAATAGAGAGCCCAGATATGGACTCTCAACTCTATGGTCAAATAATCTTCGACAAAGCAGGAAAAAATATGCAATGGAAAAAAGACAGTCTCTTCAAAAAATGTGCTGGAAAAATTGGACAGCCACATGCAGAAGAATGAAACTCAACCATTCTCTTACAGCATACACAAAGACAAAGTCAAAATGGACGAAAGACCTCAATGTGAGACAGGAATCCATCAAAATCCTAGAGGAGAACATAGACAGTAACCTCTTCGACACTGGCCATAGCAACTTCTTTCAAGACACGTCTCCAAAGGCAAGGGAAATATAAGCAAAAATGAACTTTTGGGACTTTATCAAGATAAAAAGCTTCTGCACAGCAAAGGAAACAGTCAACAAACAAAGAGGCAACCCACAGAATGGGAGAAGATATTTGCAAATGATACTACAAAGGGCTGATATCCAAGATCTATAAAGAACGTCTCAAACTCAACACCCAAAAAACAAATAATCAAGTCAAAAAATGGGCAGAAAACATGAACAGATACTTCTCAAAAGAAGACATACAAATGGCTCTCAGACACATGAAATGTTCATCATCATTAGCCATCAGGGAAATTCAAATCAAAACCACAAGGAAATACTACCTTACACCAGTTAGAACAGCAAAAAATAACAAGACAGGGAACAACAAATATTGGAGAGGATGTGGAGAAAGGGGAACCCTCTTACACTGTTGGTGGGAATGCAAGTTGGTACAGCCACTTTGGAAAACAGTGTGGAGGTGCCTCAAAAAATTAAAAATAGAGCTACCCTATGACCCAGCAATTGCACTACTGGGTGTTTACCCCAAAGACACAGATGTAGTGAAAAGAAGGGCCATATGCACCCCAATGTTCATAGCAGCAATGTCCACAATAGCCAAACTGTGGAAAGAGCCGAGATGCCCTTCAACAGATGAATGGATAAAGAAGATGTGGTCCATATATACAATGGAATATTACTCAGCCATCAGAAAGGATGAATACCCAACTTTTACATCAACACGGATGGGACTGGAGGAGATTATGCTAAGTGAAATAAATCAAGCAGAGAAAGTCAATTATCATATGGTTTCACTTATTTATGAAACATAAGGAATAGCATGGAGGACATTAGAGGAAGGAAGGGAAAAATGAAGGGGGGGAAATCGGAGGGAGAGACAAACTACGAGAGTCTATGGACTCCAAGAAACCAACTGAGGGTTTTAGAGGGGAGGGGGGTGGGGGGATGGGTAGCCCGGTGATGGGTATTAAGGAGGGTACGTGTTGCATGGAACACTGGGTGTTATAAGCAAACAATGAATCATGAAACACTACATCAAAAACTAATGATGTACTGTATGATGACTAACATATCATCAAAAAAAAAAATAATGGCAAATGAGGGCAATGTGAGATTGTTGCTGAGTGGAGAAGAGCCAAAATTTGGATGTTACATAGGGGGAAAATCTAAGATAACTCTGGTGCCTTTTGAGAGGTTTAGAACAAGTGAATAATATGGTCTTTTAGCTTAGACTCAGATGTCCCTTTGGGCAAAAGACTGCCAAAATTCCTCCACTTTTAAAGAAATGAGGCAGCTGTACAATGGCCAACTTAATAAACATACTTCCAGGATTATTTTATGTCCTCCTAATCAATGAAGAGATCAGAGCTCAGACTATAACTATTTGGAATAATACTAATGTGGCTGTCTCTTCTGGTTTTCATTTCACAGAATACTAAGTCTGTGAAATAGAATTGGCGTAAAGACTTAAATGATGACAGATTGACTAGCGTTCTTAATTATTCAAAAGATGTATACCATAATGTACAGATTAGGTAGGCAAAAACAAAAAGCAAAAATATAAAAATATGAGACCATTTGTGCTGCATTATAGGATAGTTTAAATGATATAATTCCTCACTCGTTATTACAATTCTTTGAAATATGTGTATGCATTTTGATTGTCTATTTGAATATATGCTGTTGAAAGACACGTGTCGGACAGGACTGCTGTCAAACTAAGAGTGAATTTTGTTGTTGTTATAAAATGCTTTAACCCAAAATCGGGGAGGGGGGGTGGACTTTGCTATGAGGGTTAAGTCCTTCAGACCTGGCATAGGCTTGAGCTAAAGTATCTGCACATCATTATCTGTTGGTTAAGGAATGAAATATATTAATAGTATTTCTTTATAACCAGCAGTCCAGGATGTTTGGGGGCAGGTGTTAACAGCTTATCAACAGTGTTTATTAATAACAGTGTGATTGATAACTTACACCTGTTTTTACTGAAACCTTTAGAGTCCTCTGCTGTTGGGGCTGGTTACATAGTAAAAATATGCCCACATATCTGGCAGGGTATGAGAAATCCCAACAGTAAATCCATTTTGGGCTTCTGAGTGATTCTGTGCATAGTGGTTCTTATCTGACAGTGAAACTATGTTCATGTAACAGAGGAAAATGGGAGCTCATGCCTGGCTCTTATCCAAACCCCATGGTATGAAGCAGGCTTTGGCTGTATGCAAATCCTTACTTTAATGATATTGCACCCTTTTCCCCTAATAAATTGTACACATGTCAGCATTGTCATTTTGGGTCCTATGAATCTTCTTTAGCAATTTAATCCTGTTTAAGTCAAGTTAGTACACCACATTTTCTGGCAATGTGACAGTTCTGTAGTTTTAGGCATTGTGTCCATTTCTCAATATGTAATTTTTTTTTCTTTCTCTTGAGTTGTGTCTCCATACGGCATGTAGCTCTTTTTCCATATTCAGTTTATTCAATGGTCTCTTGTTCCCTTATTTCTGTGCTAATGACTTTTTCACTGTGCGTGCTGGTTTCTGATCTATTTCTCTTGGATTTACTGCACTCTGGTCATCAACAATCTTCTCTGGTTTCCTGAGTAGTCTAACAAGTATCTTATTCCTGTTATTTCAATAGGGACATGATTACATGCTATCTGTGCTGTTGCATTATCATCTTCTATCAGAGGTGTATGCCATACACTGTTTTGAGAACAAGTTTATCAACAAAACTATTTTCCATATGTACTCCAATCAATACAGTTCTCTCCCAGAAGTGTTGCTTTTATGAGTTCCCCTTAGATTTTCACTCGCATTTATGTCTGACATGATTTGTATGTGTGCAGTAACACGCCCATGTGTTCTTGCTTCCCTAGTACCTCTTGCTTCCCAATAATCCTTTCATAGTTTAGCTATTAAGCTATTACCTAGGAGTGACCATCTGCTCCTACATCTTTATGTATGTCATCTATCTATGGGTTTAGCCTGTATGTCTAAACTTAGCTTTCTAATGATAACATACCCATTCCTTTTAAATCTTGACTAGTACCATCCAATTTATTCATGCTTTTAAAAAACCCTATACAAACATTTAGCTTTTTAATATTCCACCTTTCTAAGTTTCACTTATTTCTCCTATTATCATAGATTTTAGTTATGATGATTGGTCATTCTTCATATCTCCTATTGTTATCTGGGTTAATATAATGATCTGGGTTGATTAGCTCCTGAAATACAAAGTTTCTTTCAGTCCTTTTATTACTCAAAGTCCAAACTCTATGAATTAAATAAAATATAAGAATTGGGTACGACTATGATGATAAAGTATGAAGATAAAATTCTGAAGCTAAATCCTTGGGGGCAAAGGGCAATGACTCATTAACATTCCAACAAACACTAAAAACAAAAATTTTGGACTATGAGCTGGATCAGTGTGAAGTTTTTAAATTCTGGGTGTTATAATTTTTAATCTATCTGCATTTATACTGTTTCCAACATTAAATTCAGAAATATATAAAAAAGGATTCTTAGGGGCGCCTGGGTGGCTCAGTCGTTAAGCGTCTGCCTTCGGCTCAGGTCATGATCCCAGGGTCCTGGGATCAAGCCCCACATCAGGCTCCCTGCTCCACGGGAAGCCTGCCTCTCCCTCTCCCACTCCCCCTGCTTGTGTTCCCTCTCTCGCTGTGTCTCTGTCAAATAAGTAAAATCTTTTAAAAAAAAAAGATTCTTAGATTATGTACACTGTGATAAACTAAACATAAATTTTTACCAAGTAGCACAGTGCTCCCCTATCCATGCTTTTGAGGGATACACTAAACCAGGTGATCAAGCTTAGCACTGTCAGTGATTACTCACGTTGACAGCATATACTATGATGAGAATAGCATTTTATTTCTGTGGTCTTCCTACAAAACAACACAAAACACAGAACAAAACAGACCTGTAATGCCATTGCAATCATTTTTTAAAAAAAAGACATGAGAAACCTAAATTGAGGGGTATTCTATAAAATACTTGACAAGTACTCCTCAAAACTGTCAAGGAAACTGAAACATGGAAGGTCTATGAAATTGTCACAGACCCATTAAATGTAATGTGGTGTCCTGGATGGGATCTTGGAATATAAAAATAGGATCTCGAAATATAAAAATATTAGGGAAAGGGGTGACTGGGTGGCTCAGTCGGTTAAGCATCCAACTCTTGGTTTTGGCTCAGGTCATGATCTTGCAGCTGTGGGATTGGGCCCTGTGTCAGGATCTGCACTCAGTGCAGAGCCTGCTTCAGATTCTTGCCCTCTCCCTACTACTCACTCACTCTCAAATAAATAAAATCTTTTAAACATTAGGGAAAAACCAGTGCAATCTGAAAAATGTTTAGTTAATAATGTATCAGTGTCATTACTTACTTAAGACAAATATACCAGAGTAAGATGTTAGTAAGAGAAACTGGGTGAGAAGTATATAGTATTGTTAGTTTTTATTAAAATCTAAAACTATTCTAAACTGAAGTTAATTTTTTTTTAAAGATTTTATTTATTCACTTGAGACACAGAGATACAGAGAGAGAGAGAGCATGAGCAGTAGGAGAGGGAGAAGCAGACTCCCTGCTGAGCCAGGAGCCCGATGTGGGACTCGATCCCAGGACCCTGGGATCATGACCTGAGCTGAAGGCAGACACTTAACCATCTGAGCCACCCAGGCGCCCCTGAAGTTAATTTTTTAACAGTACTCCAGGTTTGATAATTTCCTTTTCATATATAGTTTTCTGAAAAATCAGGAATGCAGAAAGATTTTTTCCCTATCATTTACCTTTGAACACTGTGCACTAAACTCAAGTTGCATCAAGGTGTCAGAGACTGAGGAGATGCACTTATCTGCTAGAACTTCCTTGTCCCAAAGAATGCTGATTCAATAACTGGTGTATCAGCCCTGGTGGTGTGATGATACAGCCTTCATCCAATGGTGAGCTCTTAGTACAGGCTCTTTTCCTTGGCAGTGATGCTGCAAAGTGGTAACAACCCAGTGTCAAAGAAGTACCTGTTCTCCAATTAATACTAAAGGTATGTCATCATTTCCCCTCACATAGTATCAGCAGGGGATTGGGAATAGAAAACTTACTCAGGGTATCAACTGACTTACTGTCCTCATGCTCAATCTACCAGATCACACTTGCAGAAAGCAACGTGCCCAGAGTTGAGAGAAATTTTGTGATTCAGGTTTTTAAAAAACGAGGACTGCATTTACTTTCTTCTCTGTGCTGACCAAACCATGTAGCCTCAAATGATGACAGACTAACCAATATTTTCTTGGCTAAAACTATACAACACTAAATCGTTCCCTCAGAAGTTAGTCTGCTTTTTAATACTAATGTGGTACTTATGATATGAAAGTAGCCTTTTTCATTCCAATTCCAAAACCTGCTGTCCAAGCAGGATAAAAATAACAATGGTTTGCAACACTGCATAATGTGAACACACATTATGAGGTTGGAAAAAGATCCTACACAAGATGCGTAGGCTATATGCATACTAGAGGAGTGAAGCTATGATATCCTTTATAATTACACAGTACAAAATAAAGCACTAGTGGGATATAATGAAGGCCAAAAAACATGTAAGAATCATCCAGCCCACCTACCCACATACACATACATACACACAAGGAAACTTAGGAAATCTTACGGATCTCCAATATCCTAGAAAGCAGGGCCACACTACCAGGCAGACAGCAGGCAGGCCAAAATGTCATAGCATCAACAGCATCAAGCTGAGGGAAGCCAACAGAATGTAAACTGTAACTCAAAAAAGGAAAGTGGACAGGTTCCAGAGCAGGTTTGCCTGCTGCCTTCTACTAGAACTCATCAGCAGTAATGAATTCTGTTACATAAACTGATATAGATGTACCACATAGCTCAGAGACTAGCCACAAACATTTATTGGTATTGTCCACAGAATTCAAATTCTTCTTCCATCTTTAAAACTTTACATTCCATGGTGAGTTCGTGTATAGAATATTTTATTATATACTTTCTATAAAACTTGATGTTACATATAAACCACAAATTTAGGTACATCAGTTCTAGGTGAAGATTTTATCTTCAATTCTGAAACATGTATTTCCTCAGGAAAAAAAAATTACCTGGAGCAAACTTTCAGTAGTTGTTAAAAAATATCATTTATCAAAATATAAGATTTTGGTCAAATCTTAATTACCTGCTATTAAATACGTAGTAAAGGCTTTTGTGTTTTTCCCTGAGATTTCTCTAATTTTTAATGAAAGCTTCTGATCAGTCAGGATGTTGACAGTTTTCTTCCTCATGTGAAGTCTCTGATGTACAATGACAGGCTGAATTTTATAGGTCTTCTGACATGATATTCATAGGGTTTTGTCCCATTGTAACAGAGTTAACTAAACTATGTGCATTTAACAAACAGAACAGAATCTTTAAGAGCTCAACAGAGTACAGTTTTTTAAGCCAACTTGTGAAGATCTACTAGTGGAGAACTGTTTCACCCAGTTATTCAGATTTTGGCTTCTTTCACCTTGTGTTCTACCATGTTTAATACACATGCCAAGTCTGCCCTGGCAATATCTCTATTCCAACATAACATAGGACAGAAAGAATGTAAGGTGACTTTTGAAGGCTAGACTTAGCTTAAATGTTATACTGTCATATTCCATGACCAGTATCACTCAAATGAAAGACTGGGAAATTAGACAAACTATGTGCCTAGTGGAAAAGGAAATGTTTAAGGGAAACAATCTGCCAGTCTGTGACATGAGCTTTTTTACTGTGTGTTATCAATTAAGGTAGGAGTCCCTTCAGGACTTCCCAAATTCACCACATCAAGGGTTTCCTTTCTGGTGTGCATTCTGGAGTGATGTACTCTAAGAGCTGCCTTACGAATAAAAGTTTTCCTGCATTCATTACATTCATAGGGTTTCTCTCCTGTGTGAATTCTCTGGTGTACTCTGAGAGTTGAATTTTGTGCAAAAGCTTTCCCACATTCATTACACTCATAAGGTTTCTCCCCTGTGTGAATTCTCTGGTGTGCACTAAGGTGTGACTTCTGGGAGAAAGTCTTCCCACATTCATTACATTCATAGGATTTTACACCTGTGTGAGTTCTCTGATGTACTCTGAGGGTTGAATTATGGGCAAAAGGTTTCCCACATATATTACATTCATAGGGTTTCTCCCCTGTATGAATTCTCTTATGTGCAATAACATACGACTTCTGGGAGAAAGTTTTCCCACATTCATTACATTCATAGGGTTTCTCCCCTGTTTGAGTCCTCAGATGTGCCCGGAGGTGTGATGTCTTGGAGAAAGTTTTCCCACATTCATTACACTCATAGGGTTTCTCCCCTGTGTGAATTCTCTGATGTGCCCTGAGGGCTGAATTATCAGCAAAAGTTTTCCCACATTCCTTGCATTCATAAGGTTTCTCCCCTGTGTGGATTCTCTGATGTGCACAGAGGTGTGTTCTTTGGGAGAAAGTTTTCCCACATTCACTACACTCATAGGGTTTCTCACCTGTGTGAATTCTTTGATGGACTATGAGGGCTGCCTTATAGACAAACGTTTTCCCACATTCATTACATTTATAAGGTTTTTCCCCTTTGTGAATTCTCTCATGTCCACTGAGGTATGATTTCTGAGAGAAGGTTTTCCCACACTCGCTACATTCATAAGGTTTCTCCCCTGTGTGAATTCTCTGATGTGTACTGAGATGTGTCTTCTGTGAAAAAGTTTTCCTACATTCGTTACATTCATAGAGTTTCTCCCCTGTATGAATTTTCTGATGTGCTCTGAGAGCTGAATTATGGGCAAATGTTTTCATACATTCATTACATTCATATGGTTTCTCCCCTGTATGAATTCTCTGATGTACTCTGAGAGCTGAATTATGGGCAAAGGTTTTTTCACAGTCACTACACTCATAGGGTTTCTCCCCTGTGTGAATTCTCTGATGTGCTCTAAGGGCTGAATTATGGGCAAAAGATCTCCCACAGTCATTACATTCATAGGGTTTCTCACCTGTATGAATTCTCTGATGTGCTCGGAGAACAGATATATGGGCAAAGGACCTCCCACATTCATTACATTCATAAGGTTTCTCCCCTGTGTGAATTCTCTGATGTGCCCTGAGGGTTGAATTATCAGCAAAAGTTTTCCCACATCTGTTACATTCATAGGGTTTCTCGCCAGTATGGACTCTCTGATGTGCACTAAGGTGTGTCTTGTGAGAGAAAGTTTTCCCACATTCAGTACATTTGTAGGGTTTTTCGCCTGTGTGAATTCTCTGATGTGCTCTGAGATGTGACGTCTTAGAGAAAGTTTTCCCACATTCAATACATTTGTAGGATTTCTCCCCTGTGTGAATTCTCTGATGTTCTTTGAGATGTCCCATCTTGGAGAATGTTTTCCCATATATGTTACTTTGATAGAGTTTCATTCCTGTGTGTGTTCTCTGGTGTACTGTGAGCGCAGACTTCCTGTAAGATTTCCCACATCCACTGTTATCATAATCCTTTGTGTGAATTGTCAGATTTTCATGGATGTTTGATTTTTGACAGAAAGTTTTCCCATATTTATTACATTCACAGAGACTGACCCTCATATCAGTTCCAGGATAATGAATAGGGTGTGAACTTGAACAAAAAGATTCCCCGCATTCCTCACATTCCTCAGGTTTCTCCTCTGAGTGGGTCCTCAGATGATGAATGAGTTGTCCTTTCTGGTAAAAGGATTTCCTGCACTCATTACATTCAAATGACTTCTCTCCAGTTTCACTTTGCTGATGATGTACACTGAGGGCTGAGTTTTGATGGAAGGACCTCCCATATTTATCACACTGGTAGAGTTCCTCTTCTGTGTGACTTCTCTGACATACTATAAGGTCTAATTTCTGGTAGAAGGCATTTATACATCCATTATATGCACAAAATTCATCTCTAATTTGTGTCTTTTTTTGTATTATATGGGTTGAGCTCTGGCTCAACTTTTCTTCACATTTATTGCTTGCAAAAGCACCCTGTTCTTTAACAGTTCTCTGAGACTGAGTGAGAGGTAAGAGCCTGCTGAAGTTATTCCCATTTTCATTATATTCAGAGTTTGTCATAGCCATGTGAACTTTATCATATTTCACAGTGGTGGTTTTGTCACAGGATTTCCCACATTCATTAAGATCAAAGCATTTCTCTCTTGTGCCAGTTCTCACATAGTTAAATAAAGTTGCTTTATCACAGTTTTTCCTAAATTCATCATCCTTATAGGATTCCTCTCCTATAACACAGTGAGTCTTATCATGTAAAACTTTCCTAAATTCATTACATTCAAAAGACTGCTCCAGGCTTTGAAGTTTCTGATGCTCTTTCCTATTATTGAGAGGTTTCATGTTTTTATTATAACCATAAGATTTCTCTCCAGTAGTATGAGTTTTCTCATGTTTAATATCAAGCTGCAACTTTTTGCATACATTCATGTAATCAGCCTTCTTTCTTGAATAGTTTCTATCACAAATAATTAATTCAGAAACAACTGGCAAATTCATTCTACATGAGTCACATTTACAGGGCATTTTTCCAAAAGAATTTGGAATTTTATCCAGAGTAAATGGTTTTTCTAAAACTTTCTGCCCTTCTTTACTCAGTGTTTTGTTATCAGTGAATATTACTTGCCACAGAGGTTTCGCTTGTTTTTCCTGGTTTCCCTCAATGAGAATATCAACACTGAAATATCCTAAAATGAGAAAAATTGAAAATATCTTTATATCTTATATCTCTTATGGAGAGGAACTTACAGCCATATGTTTGTTATGTATTGTATTCTGTTACAGGTCACATTTCCAAATATCAGTAATTCATGCACATAGAGAAAAGACAGATACACTTTTTCCTCATCGGTGTTGTTTAAAGAAAACAGGTATTATTTTCAGTGCTGGCCAAGACTGAGTAGCTACCTCCTTTCTTCCTAAGTCCTCCCTCTTACAATTAACAAATCCCTGGACAAAAAAAATATATCAATAACTAAATCAACAGTAAGTAAGATGCTACAAAATGGAATGTGGACTTTGGAACTCAAGAAATGACATAGCAGAGGATTCCAAGACTGTTCTTTCTGCTTCCCATATATCTTACATAGGGCACTGGAGTGTTGGAAAAGCCCTCAATCCAAGTCAACAATATACATAACAAAAAGAGCTATAAGAAAAGCCTGTTCCTTCTAGCCAAAGGTCTGAAAAAAAGGTGGTTTAACAGAACAGAAAATCTTTTTGACAATACCCACCCTGCTCAAGCCAAACAAAAATAGGTTTAACAGGGAATGAAAGTTCCACTGCCACAGGTATAAAAAAGGACTGGACACTCTTAAGAAAATTTCTTTCCATGAGACAAAACTAAGAGCTCACTAGAGAGATCATGAAGAATTCTAAGAAAGTTCTATTCACAGGACATTCAGAGATGGTAACAGCAACCACTACCAAAATTCTTCCTGGAACCACATTCTTATCTATTCTATGGAATCTGCAATAGCAAAAGCAATAAATCTGTTTTTAGGGCACTTATGGCAACACAGCAGGTAGGGAAGGAAAGAAGGGAAAAGAGGCAGGAATACTACAATATTACAGCTAGAAGGGATGGAACAGCATTTGTAATAACCATGCTCTCAAAACCCAAGAATACAGTACATTTAAAAAACAGTTTAATTTACATTATTGTCAAATGCACAGGAAACATTCATCACAGCAGACTGCGTTCTATACTGCAAGAAAATTTTTCACAAATATAAAAAACAGAAATCAAAGTATAATCTCAGGCCATCAAGAAATTATACTAGAAATCAGTAACACAAAGTCACCTGGAGAAACACAAAATACTTGTAAATTAATACACTTCTAATTAACCCATTGGTCAAAGAGAAAATTTCATAGGAAACTAAGATAGTTAGAATTGGATGAAAACAATAATGTTTAGAACATATAGAAATTTGTGGGAAGGAGCTAAAGTAGTGCTCAGAGATAAATTTGTAGCTTACAACTTTTTTTTGATTAAGATTTTATTTATTTATTTGAGAGAGAGAATGAGAGAGAGCATGAGAGGGAGGAGGGTCAGAGGGAGAAGCAGACTCCCTGCCAGGCAGGGAGCCTGATGCGGGACTCGATCCCGGGACTCCAGGATCATGACCTGAGCCGAAGGCAGTTGCTTAACCAACTGAGCCACCCAGGCGCCCTAAAGCTTACAACTTTTTATATTACAAAAGATTCCAGTTACCCAGTTCCACTTTAACAAATTTGACAGAGAAAAAATTAAATCTAAAGAAAGCAAAAGGAAGAAAATAATAAAGACTAGAGAAGACAATAAAATTGAAAATGGAAAGCAGAGAAAAATCAATCAAGCCAAAGCTTAGTTCACTGAAGATTTTTTTAATGATTTACACCAAAGAAGAAAAAAGAGAGGACACAAAGTATTAATATAAGAAAAAATGCAAGAAAAGACATAAATACTGATACAACAGACACTAAAAAGATAATAAAAGAATATTAGGGGAAACTCTGTGCCCATAAATTTGACAATTTAAGTGAAATGGACAAATTTCACTGAAAAACAAACAAACAAAAAAACTACCAAATTCACTCAAGAAGACATAATTTGGATAGATCAGTATCTATTTAAGAAGTTGAATATGTGGTCAACAAATACGTAGTACCAAGAAACAGCTTCAGTATTAGAAGGCAGTAAATAGTGAATTCTGCCAAAGGTTAAAAAAAAAAAAAAGAAAAGAAAACTATGTTACATAATCTCTTCTAGAAAATACAAGAAACCTACAGACCAATATCCCTCATGACATAAATGTAAAAATTCTAAAAAAAAAAAAGCATAAAAAACCCCCCCAAAGCAATATAGAAATGACATTCCAAAAAACAAACTGTTGAGATATTTAAAAGTCAATGTAATCCATCATATTAATTATCTAAAATGTTAAAACCACACAATCAAATAATTTAAGGCAAAGAATATTTCACAAAATTCAAAATCCATCCATTAGCCTACTGTAAAGGGAATCTACAAAAAGCCTATAGCTATAATCATACTTAAGAGACTGAATACTTAAACCCTAGGATTGGAAAATACAGGTATCTAGCCTCAGCACTTCTATTCGAGACTGCTAGAAGTTCCCACCAATGCAGTACAGCAAGAATAGAAAGAAAAGGTACAAAATCTACAGAGAGAACCACACAAAGATCTTCAAAAAAAGCCCCTTAACTAGTGTTTTCAGCAAGGGCAAAATACAAAGCTGATATACAAAAGCCAATCATATACAAACAATTATCACTAGAATTTTAAATCAAAGAATATAATTTACCATGATGCTAAAAACAAAACCCAAAATACTTGGTACCTATACTCCAAAAACTACTGATAAAAGGAATCAAAGAAATCATAAATAAAAGGAGATGGGATTTCTTTATGGATTGGATTTTAAGATGTTAAACCTCTTTAATTTGATCTATAGATTCAATACAATCCCAGTTGAAAAGCTGGCATGCTTTTTGTTAAATATCAAAAAGCTCACTTTAGAGGAGGAGCAAGATTGGCAGAGGAGTAGGAGACCTAAATTTCGTCTGGTCCCAGGAATTCAGTTAGACAGAGATCAAGTCATTCTGAACATCTACGAACTCAAGAGGAGATTGAAGAAAAGAATAGCAGCAACTCTCTGAACAGAAAAGCGACGACTTTCTGGAAGGTCTCTTCTGATTTGTTCAGCGTATATATTTCTGCGGTCGTTGTTAGCCTGTTAGCATTTTGTTCTCTCATTCATCTATTCTCTAGACAAAATGACAAGACGGAAAAAATCACTTCAAAAAAAAGAACAACAGGCAGTACCTACTGCCAGGGACCTAATCAATATGGACATTAGTAAGATGTCAGAACTAGAGTTCAGAATGACGATTATAAAGATACTAGCTGGGCTTAAAAAAAGCATGGAAGATATTAGAGAAACCATTTCTGGAGAATAAAAGAACTAAAATCTAACCAAGTTGAAATCAAAAAGGCTATTAATGAGGTGCAATAAAAAATGGAGGCTCTAACTGCTAGGATAAATGAGGCAGAAGAGAGAATCAGTGATACAGAAAACCAAATGATTGAAAATAAAGAAGCTGACAAAAAGAGAGAGACAACTACTGGATCACGAGGACAGAATTCGAGAGATAAGTGATACCATAAGAATAAAATATATTAGAATAATTGGGATCCCAGAAGAAGAAAGAGAGAGAGGAGCAAATTATAGCAGAGAACTTCCCTAATTTGGGAAAGGAAACAGGCATCAAAATCCAGCAGGCAAAGAGAACCCCCCCAAAATCAATAAAAATAGGTCAACACCCCAACATGTAATAGTAAAACTTATGAATCTCAGAGACAAAGACAAAATCCTGAAAGCAGCTCAGGATAAAGGATCTGTAACCTACAATAGTAGAAACATAAGATTGGCAAAAGACCTATCCACAGAGACCTGGCAGGCCAGAAGGGACTGGCATGATATATTCAGAGCACTAAATGAGAAAAATAGGCAGCCAAGAATACTATATCCAGCTAGGCTGTCACTGAAAATAGGAGAGATTAAAAGCTTCCAGGACAAACAAAAACTAAAGGAATTTGCAAACATGAAACCAGCCCTACAAGAAATCTTGAAAGGGGTCCTCTAAGCAAAGAGAGAGCCTAAAAGCAACATAGACCAGAAAGGAACAGACAATATACAGTAACAGTCACCTTATAGGCAATACAATGGCACTAAATTCCTATCTTTCAATAGTTACCCTAAATGTAAGTGGGCTACATGCCCCAATCAAAAGACACAGGCTATCAGATTGGATTAAAAAACAAGACCCATCGATATGCTGTCTGCAAGAGACTCATTTTAGACCCAAAGACACCTCCAGATTGAAAGTGAGGGGGTGGAAAACCATTTACCATGCTAATGGACACCAAAAAGAAAGCTGGGGTGGCAATCCTTGTATCAGACAAATTAGATTTTAAACCAAAGACTATAATAAGAGATGAGAAAGGACACTATATCATACTTAAAGGGTCTATCCAACAAGAAGATCTAACAATTGTAAACATCTATGCCCCTAACATGGGAGCAGCCAATTATATAAGCCAATTAATAACAAAAGCAAAGAAACAATAGTAAGGGGACCTTAACAACCCCCTCACTGAAATGGACAGATCATCTAAGCAAAAGATCAATAAGGAAATAAAGACTTTAAATGACACACTGGACCAAATGGACTTCACAGATATATTCAGAACATTCCATCCCAAAGCAAAAGAATATACTTCTTCTCCAGTGCCCATGGAACATTCTCCAGAATAGAACACATCCTAGGTACCGGTACCAAAAGACGGGGATCATTCCCTGCATATTTTCAGACCACAAAGCTTTGAAACTAGAACTCAATCACAAGAGGAGAGTTGGAAAGAACTCAAGTACATGGAGGCTAAAGAACATCCTACTAAAGAATGACTGGGTCAACCAGGAAATTAGAGAAGAATTAAAACTCATGGAAAGAAATGAAAATGAAAACACAACTATTCAAAATCTTTGAGATGCAGTAAAGGCGGTCCTAAGGGCAAAGTATATACCAATACAAGCCTTTCTCAAGAAACAAGAAAGGTCTCAAATATACAACCTAACCCTACACCTAAAGGAGCTGGAGAAAGAACAGCAAATAAAGCCTA